AAGGATTTGTTATGCCTATCGGAGGTGCTTGGATTGGATTTCAACGTTTACATGCGATTACTGCAAATTCAACGCGCTGTCACCGTGATCACTTTGTATGGCAGTGAAGAGCAAAAACAAACGCTGTTACCGAAAATAGCGTCGGGTGCTCTGAAACCAGCAATATTATTGTTTGACGAGAATGGGTGAGTGGTTTGATTTGATTACTTTGTAATGTTGATCAATCGACAGTCATCGATTCTATGATTGAAATTGTTTGATTAATTTTTAAAGTTAATTACTCAACTTAATCGAGACCAGAATTAATGTTGATCAATCGACATTAGACAAAAATTTTAAAAAAATCGGCATTGATAATATTCGCGAGACTTCTGACAGTTATAATATTGAGAACATTATTGTTGAATTTTATTATTCATTGAAGGAATTTCGATTTCGAATCAATTCAAACTTCGGCGATCGCGTCTGGCGATGGAGTGGAGAAAATAAGCGGTACAAAAAGTTCAGTGATCGGCGTTGCAGATGCAAATCTTTTCTTAGTGTTCGCTATGAGGAAATCGAATCTTCAGGTGATTATTATCGTTATTTGTTGATGATCGATAACATTATCCATATTATTATTATTATCGTTACCCATAATAACTCGGTTTATAATTGCAGCAAAAAGGGAATATGGCTTGTTATATAATAGAAAGAGAACATCTGCCACAACAAAGTTGTCTAACGATAAACTCACGTATCAACACACTTGGTCTTAACGCTCTTCATGGTGATTGATCACTCTTCCATTAGAATCTCTCCATTTTCTCAGCCGTTCAGATCAATTTTTTGTGAAACTTCAATGAATTGTATACGTTCCAGTAAGTGATGTTGAACTAAAAGACGTCCCGGTGAACTCGTCAAGCCTACTCGGTTCCGTGAACGATTCTCGTGATATCGCTCTAGAACTATCCGCTTCGAATGGTTACACATACGGCGCGGCTGTAGTCGGTTTTCTAAAGTTATTAATCGGTAAATCGACTGATTTTATATTCAGTCAAAATCTCATTCAACTTTCCCAGTGTTTGTCTTCATTAAGATATCAGTTCAGCTCCACTTCATTAAATTTTTAAGTAATGAATTTCAGGTGAGTTATCACATTTCTGTAATACAACAATACAGTTCAAGTCGCCATTGTCCGAGAATCTTGGCATACAGGTGAACAGAGATATCTTTTCTAAAGTGTTTCGAAAATGAAATGTACTAAAGTATCAGATTCTAAGTAATCTCATTCCTTGTTTACCTATCAAACATGATAGTAATAACTGTTATTCAGTAAATGTGATTATAAAAAGTATCTCTGAATTAAGCGTTCAATGACTGATTTATGCATGAGCACGTTTGTTCTCGAATCGATGAGCTATTATGTTGGAGGTCTTCTGGACGAACATCTTGTCATCGCCACTGATATCGAATCGGCCATAATTCATGTTTCTTTTATCATTATTATTGTTATTATTATTTACTTTTATTCGTTGCTGTTATCCATTGTAATTATTCTATTATCATCATTGTTTTATTCATTATCAAATGTAAAATATGTGGCTTATTGCAGTAATAATTTGCAGAAATACGCGAACAGTGTTCTGCGTCTTGCAATTTCGACAACAGTTGATATACTCGGTTCGGGAAGTGTAAGTCGTGAGATGAATTTCGAGAAATGGTTCCGAGATGCGATCACAATGATATCGCTGTCGAACAACAACGCCAATCTCACTGAGCAGATATCTATGGGAACGTTAACCACATGGGCAAAAACAAACGCACAGCAGTTGAGGTTGGTCTTTTTGAAGAATTTTTTGTTGATTCTTTAAAATTTTCAAAAATTCAGTCAGATTTCTCACGCCGTTTTTCAGATTCTGAATCAGTTTCTCGCACACATTCGTTTGTTTGGTTGCTTAGTGGATTGAGTGCAAACTAATGATATGTTTTTGGTTATTTTGAGAAATGATTATCTTTTGTAGGAATTGGCGATTGGGCAAAGTGGGTGCATTGAAACGATTGTTCGGTGCTGAAAGTGATAGTGCAGAGATGAATGATCCAAAATTGACACATTTTATTGCTGAACACGCACATCCGTCGCTTGAGGTGGCACCTTTTATTATCATTTCTTAGTGATTATCATTATTTATCAGCATTTTATCACTGATCGCAAATTCCAGAACGCATGTCGTGATCTTGAGCAGACGATGTCTCGTTTGAACATAGTGATCTCGAAGCTGACCTCGGATCAGGGCAAGACGATTCAGAACGATTTTATGTCGCTGAGCAGTATTTGTTCAGTTGTTGAGAACAATCTCGGTATGGTGGCGGTTATCTCGCGAGCAACGCGATCGTATTCGATCGGACTTCGGAACGCCGACCTCGAGGTTGCGCCATATCGATCGTCATTTTTGTTTTTCTTTCATTAACACTCTCTTGGGGCGCATCTTAATTTGGATGATTTCTATTCATAATAATAATATCAATTTTTGCACTCAGAACTGCAAAATTTCTACGAATTTTATGGAACTTGCAAATTTGTTTTCATAAATTTCATCTAATTGTTCACTGTTCTTGTTCCTCTACGAGAATTCCGGCTGAATTTTGATTGTATGGGAATTTCAGGTTGCGTGGGCTCTAACCTATTGCAGTCGC